TATTTTGCGGGGCCTTATTTTCGGCCTGATTTTGCTGCTATCAGACGGGAAAAGTTTGCGGCTCGATATTTTTGGTTTAAAGCGAAACTGAAACAAAACAAATTCATTTTTAAATAGTATTCGGTAACCTCTACTTGGGAGATAAAAATCGGCCGATTTTATTTTTTAGCCGGAAATCATCGGTCGATTCTTAGGCGCAGGGCCTCTTAACGCTAACTCGCCCCAATAAGACGCCTGCACTGCAGGCTACTAAATGAATGGACTCGAATGTTTGCAACTGGTACGAGTACGGCAAACGAAAGTTCTTGCAAAAAACATTAATCCAATGGCATGGTTTTGCTTGGTCTGTACTTTTTGTATATAGGTCTTTGAGTCCCCCAAGCTAAAATGGCATATGATATACTGAAGGATATATAAAGTTATAGTAAATTTGTTTTAATTGAGAAGGTGTTAGGTAGTATCTTACTTTTGATCCTGACCGGAAGTTGTTACGTTACCCTCGTTGTTAATTACAACATTAATGACGTTCTGAACAGGCAGCAAAACAGACCGAGGAATCCAACCACCACAGTCCCCAAAAAGGACTGAAATAGTCTTAGTTCTACCTTATTTAGGGGTACAAAGGAAAATTATTACCAAAAAGCTGGAGACCTGCATTAAGAAATTTTATGGCTACTTTGATCTTAGGTTTATTTTCCAAAGCGCTCATCGCATCAAGTCTTTTCCCCCTACAAAGATAGGATAAACCGTACCCAAGTGATAAGGCTAGTTGTTGGGACTGCCAGGATTTCCACATTGGAAAAACAAAACGTACATTGCATGACAGAAAAACTGAACATTTTAAAGCGAAAACGTAGAAGCATGTATTTTTTATCCAACAATGCGTTTGATCGTAATGCTTATCACCGCACCCAGTTAGAGGGATTGTGGGACGAGCGTGACTTCGAGCGTGACGGGCCCAAAAAGCGTCTGTGTAACTTGATAACAGTTGATATCCTGCGGATCACCTCATATTTGTTGTATAACTGCTGTGTCGGACCTGCTGAGGCATTCCATTTTGTATCCCTCTCGAATGAAAAGATGGGTACAAAGGGTCTTGTTGCAGAAGTAGCTCCGGGCGTATTTGTGAGCAAAACAAAAATCATTGTAATTGGAGTAATTCTTCTTGTGTTATTGATCCTGGTCATCGTTCTTGGAGCGCTGCTGGGACACTCGCGTTCGAAATTGTCAGGTATTTTACCCTTTTGTCATCTCGTTGACGCTATTTAGAGTTAGGATTTTGAACAATACATTAAAATGTAATTTAGATCATTTCCATCATTTTATAAAAGTCGATGATGGTTTATCCTAAACCTAATGAATCATAAACCTAATGAGTAATAAGAATTATTTTATGCATACAGGGGGGTGATGCGCAGCGCCAAGTTCAGATGGCGACATTTGTACTGTGTGCCATGTAAATGAAAATTATCTACTGAGAACACCTTGGTGTCACCCACAACAACCATCCGTGGCCTTTATTGAAAAGGATGGTGGCGTAAAATAAGAACACGCACCATTAAGTTCGAAAATAAAAGTCTGAGAAGGCAGATGGATTTCCACGTGTCAACAACAACAGGTCGTCTGCGGATGTGTCGAAAACGAAGACC